GTTCGACTTGCCGGCCAGTTGCGGTCGCGGTCGGGCCGTCAGCTGGCCTGCACACATGCACGTCTGTCTGTTGATCGTGCAAGTCGGCGTCGCCGTTGGTGTCGGCCTCGCCGAAGGCGTAGAGCCGGGTCCGTACAGCTTGTCGGTGAGCGAGAACGCCAGCGTCGGCCTCGTGTTGGTCGAGGATGTGCGGCGTCTGTTCGGTTTGTCGGCGCAGACTCGCCTAAAACTGGGGCCCGGCGCGCTCGGCCAGTTTGTCTCGTTGGACGCGGCGACGGGTCGATTGCGGCTACGGCGAAGCGTCGACTTGGAGGCGCCGGCGGTCTGCGAGGCTGAGCCGTCCTGTTGCCCGCACGTCAACGGCGAGCCGCGTCGTCGTGACGACGTCTTTGAGACCGACACAAACGTCAACGTCGACGTCGACGTCAACGTCAACGTCGAGATTGGCGCATTTTACGGCCAATCGGAGACGACGCCAGACTCGCCGGACTCGATGGAGGGCGTCTGCCTGCTGGACGCCTTCCTATTGGCCAGCGCGACCGGTACCGACCAGATCCTGCCATTCGCCAAATTGCTCCTCGCCGTTCACGACGTCAACGACAACTCGCCGCGCTTCGCCGCGTCTGCCGACGAGGCCAAGCTCGAGTCCGGCGCCGACAAAAAGTCGGCGTCGGCGTGGGCGTCCGAGGCTGACGCGGTTGGCAACGGCGAGGGCGACGGCGAGGCGTTTGTGGTGGCGTTCTGGGAGGGGGCGGGCGGACTGGGCGTCCGGCGCGAGCTGCCGCTGGCGACAGACGCGGACTTTTCGCATCGCAACCGAGTCGTCCGCTATTGGCTGGAGGGCCGAACGGCGACGGCGACGGCGACGGCGACGGTTGGTCCGTTTCGATTGGTCTTCCGGCCCGAGGGGTCTGTTGGTGCGGGTCTATTTTTGGAGTTGGTTGAGGAGTTGGACCGCGAGCAGCGCGGCGAGTACCGACTGCGTCTGTTGGCGGAGGACGGCGGCGGTCGAAGGGCGAGTCTGGCGCTCGTCGTCCTCGTCCTCGACGTCAACGAGTACTCGCCCGTCTTCCAGCCCGTCTTCCCGCCCGACAACGGCGACGGCGACGGCGACGTCGGCATTCGCCTCGTCCCGTCGCCGCCGGACGCCGCCGCCTCGAGTCCGGTCACGCCGCCGCGGCTCTACCAACTGCTCGTCTCCGAGGCGGTGCCGGTCGGCACCGAGTTGGCCCGGCTGAGTGCAGTCGACCGTGACGCGGCGCCAGCCAACCGGATCGTCTACTCGCTCGGCCGCTGCCAACCGGCCGCCGCGGCCGCCGCCACCTTCCGTCTCGACGCCAGCACCGGCTCGCTCAGTCTCCGCGCGGGACTCGACTTTGAGCGCGTGTCACGCTTCCGTCTCAGCGTCGTCGCGACGGACGCCGTCGCCGTCGCCGAGCTCGAGTCCGCCGCCGTCCGGCTGGCGCTGGCGGACGCCGCGCGACCGTCGTCGGCCGAGCGCCACTCGACGACGTTGTTGCTCGACATTCGCGTCGTCGACACCAACGACCACGCGCCCGAGATCCGCTTCGACACCACCAGCCTCGCGCCAACCTCGCCGCCAACTTCAACATCAACGGCGACGGCGACGGCGACGGCGACGGCGACGGTCGTCGAGGTTTGGGTGACGGAGAACGCGAGGCCCGAGACGTCGATCGCCTTCTTCGACGTCGTCGACCGCGACTCGCCCGAGCACGGACGACCCCAATGCCTCCTGACCAATCACACGCGTCTCTTTCGGCTACACCGCCTCGCCGGACTCTACGCCGTCCAGACCGTCGCAGCGCTCGATCGAGAGACGCAAGACCGCTATCGTGTCGGCATTCGTTGCCTCGACGACGGTCGTCCGACGCGACTGTCGACGGAGCGCAGTCTGCTGGTGCGTGTCGGCGACGAGAACGATCTTCCGCCGCGGTTCGCGCACTCTCGCTTCGCCGTTCGCGTCGCCGAAAACAGTCCGCCGGGCACGCCGTTGCTCATCGCCGGCCCCGTCGACCAACCCGTCTCGGTCGCCGCACACGACCCCGACCTCGACGACAGCCTCGCCTACCGACTCGAGGCGTCGCCGTGCTCCACTCAACCGCCCGTCAACGTCAACGCCAACGGCGACGGCGACGGCGACGGCGACGGCGACTATCAACTGTTCGAGGTGGTGATGCCGGGCGCGATGTTGGTGACGCGCAGTCCGATGGATCGGGAGGTGCGTGCGACGCGTCGCTTTTGCGTGTGTGCCGACGACGGTCGACACACGAGCTGCGCCGAGGTGGTCGTCGACCTCGTCGACGTCAACGACAACGCGCCGCATTTCGAGCAGGACACGTACACTTTGCGCATCCCCGAGAACGAGATGCGCTCCACGCCGCTCGTCTCGTTCCGCGCCAGCGACGCCGACATCGGCAACCTCGGTTTCACCTACGACTTTGCCAACGTCGACGCGAACGTCGACGACGCCCTCGAGCCGACACGAGTCAGCGCCAACTATCGTGACGAGATGATGCTGGTCCGGCGACATTTCGGTTTCCGTGACAACCATTTGCATCTGTTGAAAGCGCTGGATCGTGAGGCGAAATCGCATTTTCACTTTTTCGTCCAAGTCACCGATTTCCAGACGCCCATCTTCGCCACGCCGCCGCTCCTTCCGTCGTCGCCCGGCAACGTCAGTCTGGCCGGCGGCCCAGCGGACCGACGCCTCGGCCTGCGATTGGGCGGCGTCAATCTGACCGGCCTGGCTGAAGTGTTTGTCGACGTGCTCGACGTCAACGACAATCATCCCATCTTCGTTTTTCCCAACGCGAGCGGGCCGCGCGGCAACGTGCTCAACGTCTCGTGCCACGAGACGATGGGCACCAGCCTGGGTCGTGTCGAGGCGTACGACGCGGACCGTGGCGCCAACGGTACCATCGTCTATTCGCTGTTGAAGGGTCCGAAAGCGCCGGCCGGATTGGTCCATTTGGACCGACAATCGGGCGAGTTGTTCGTGAACACGGGCCAATTGGCCGAGGCTTGTGGTACCTCGCTCGGGCTGCTCGTCACCGCCGACGATCGTGGCCCGGAAGAAGCGAAAAGGTCACGTGGTTGGTTGCGACCCGTCGAGAAGTTGCTTCTTCTGCTGCAGGATCGGCCCGTCTTGGCGGTCGTCGAGGCCGGCGGCACGCTGGTGCGCGCCTCGACCAATCAGCGCGCAGAGCTGGGACCCACCGGAGCCTCGTCTACTGCCGACACCGGATTGGCCGGCTACTCGGGCTTCTCGGCC